GGCCCTTGATATCCCGGGTGGCTGGGCAGAGGAATAGAAAAGATCCATTAACTCACACAGACCAGGCAGAAAGGGCATTTCGATTGCAGAGAGGAGGCGCTGAGAGCAAAAAAATCAATATAAAAAGGAGGGGGGTGCCCAAGCACAAGGCTCAAGGTGGGAGAGCACGAGTTGAGCAAAGATGCATATATCAAAACTGCATTAGAAGTATTTATAAACATACGGCCAGTTCCCGTCCCAGGGGACGCAATCTGCAAAAATAATCTCCGTGCGCGTTGGGTGGGCACAACACAACTGACTCGGGAATGCGTTGTGGGGTGAGACAGTGCGAGGGCTAAGTGCCAGCCGGAGGGCGGGGGGGGTGAGGCAGCTTCCACCCCAAATACTGGCGGAGGGGATCGGCCGCGGTCAGAAACGAACTGGAGATTGTATGGCAGCAAAAAATTGTGCGCACGCAAAGCACAGGCATCACACAACCCGTTTTAGGAAACTGAAGTTGTTAAGGGCGCGTGACATACTGAGAGAGGGGGGTTGGCAACTGAGGTCCTCGAGCAGGGCCGCCTTGAGGGGGTTTTCGCGACCGGCGGAAGTGGGTTGAGCCACACTGTTTGGACCGCTGTCTCCTCCCAAGCCGGTGTCAGGAGAGGAGTTGACGCGTTCAGTCATGGAATTCAGCAGGCAGTATGGCTGACTCGTGACCGCTGTGGCTCTAGACAGACCCTTGGGAAGAACAGGAGGACAGATCTGATCTATGGTCCGGAAGGATGTGGCCGCGGCCGTAGCAGCGGCACACATCTGACGCAAATCGCCAGGGTCGGGACAGACAACAGAGGGATACACATGAAGACGCGCAGAGGCTGATGGAGTGCAGGGGGCATCTTGGCGCCGCACACCCGCGGAAAGAATGCCCTGATCTGTCCTGTTGCTGTAGAAACTGGAGCAGACATCCGGAGTCACAACCGCCGTCATTGCGGAGACGTAACGTGAGGTCACCGGTGTACAGGCTTGTTGGCGCGTGCATGGGCTGGCACCGACACGAAGTGAGAGAATATCTCCTTTCTGATAATCTGCAGACTGCGAGACGGACAGATGGTTGCGCACAACGACACCCGGACTACCACCTTCACTATACTCACCGACTGGCCGGCTATTGACGGGGTCGTAGCGTCGCGGACTTAAGCCAACTGCTTGCCGTCGAAGTTGGGCGAGGTTCAGTGCCGAAGACTCATCCTGTTGGAAGAAGCCCGACTCAGTGGGCGAATCACTAGTCTTCAAGTCAGTCGACCTCACTCGATGATGGCTTCCGTCTCCTCCAGCCGGTCGGAGCCCAGTCGGGGGAGTGGGGAGGGCGGTGTGACGTTGCTCCAGCTGAGCAACAAGGTAGGGAATAGTGTAATCGTTACCCTTAGACGGCTTCCGCCTATTGTTACTGATAGCGGCTCGGGGTGGAGGGACAAGATGCGGATAGCCGTTGACACACTTGGCGTCAAGAAGGTCACCCCTGGCTGTGTTATTGCAAAACCGGAGAGGAGGCGGCGGTGGCGGGGGAGGAGGAGGCGGAAGAAGAGTTCGAAGATCGCTTCGAGTGGGCGGATCGACGTGCAGGGAGGAAGGGGTGCATTTACTGAAAGAATTCTGTGAATAGCTGCCGCGAGTATTCCGCCGCTGTGAAGTAATGTGGGCATGTGGTGGCGGGGGCGGTTCTGGTAGCGGATAGTTGCTGAAAAGACGCCCGTCAACACCACCACCGCCGCCGCCGCCGCCACCTTTTTGGCAATCGTTCGGACCCACATAGGACTTCGGGAATCGACCGGTTCGCACGTACTGATAGATTATATCAATCTCATTGAGCTGAGCCTGCAGACGTACACTCCTAGCTTCGTCGCTCTCCAGGGATGGCGACTTTGAGGACTTATAATGGTCCTGTGTGGTGGCTGCGTGGGTGTCGAGGGCCACCTCATTGTTCTGCAGGGCCGTCACTGCGGCAATGCTCCCGACAGCCATATGCGAGGCTCCCGCAGCACCTCCGGATTCACCTGGCGGGCCCAGCGTCTCCGAGAGGGCGCAGTGGACGGGGCCCACGGCAGAGCAGTGAGTCGCGTCCTCCAGATATTTGAGGAGGTAGTTTAGTCCGAATGCTGGGTGTAGAGCTGCAAGAAAATGAGCCACCCGCGAGGCATGCACACGCAGTTGTTGGGAGTAGGCCTGGGTTGAGGTAGGACTGGCGACTAGGAAGCGATGCTGGGATAACATCTCCGTGGTCACCACAAAGAAGCGGCTAGAGGACGAAGAAGATGGAGCTGTAGTCTGGCTCACGCGATTCACACAATCAGCAATCGGCTCAAGGAATATAAGGTCGCCATGATGACAGGAGGAGAGAGTTAGGCAAGCCCCAGAATCATTGTGGGGGGCGGCGTTAGAGGCAGAAGAGGGCCAGTTTGCAAGGCTATTGCTGAGCAATGGACGTACAGAAATGGGCAACTGGAAGTGAGACAGGAGACTGAGAATACTATGCGCACCGGTGTAGGGCCAGGTTGCCGTGGAGGCGTTTACATCGCGGGTGTTGGGCGGCTGGGTGGCTATCGGAGAGAAGAGGACTGAGTTATCATCCAGAGGGAGGTAGACAAAACGAGGTCCGCTGGCAAAGGCTTGGAGAGCATCGTTGGGGGGCAGACTTGTGGCGGAGGCGTACCTGGCCAGACTCCGTGCCCCGACAACTTCACACTGCAGCATGGACACGAAAGAGGGATAGAAGGTGGTTGACGCTACCTGAGGTGCTACCGCGATCCGGCAGATGCGACAATCAATCGGCCTCAGCACAGTGCCGGGATGAAGATTAAAAGCACTGCTCGTATTTAGTGGAACGGAGGCATCCTGTTTGAGTTCCTTCTCGCAGTCCCCGGCAGCGTTAGTTGAGAAGAAACACCTGGCGGGTTTCAGTAGAAGGAAGAGGCTGGGCCGTGCCTTCCAGACTGCCTTAGCTGAATTCCAGAGGTTCAAGGAAGGACCATGAGACTGGCAAAAATCTCCCGGACCCATGTTCGCCTTGCTGAGTAACTCGAACCAAAATGGGAAACAAGAGGTAAGAATGAGAGGGATTTGTTCGCTGGCCAATCCAGAGGAGGCCTCGGGTGTCAACCTCAGACAAGCGCGAGATGATTGTTGGTGCGAATCACCACTTTTTATCACGCTACGAAGAAATGGAGCCTCCGATTCGTCGGACTGGTGGGGGCGGCCGGGATCACCGGTGATGGATGGAGCAAAACCCCTGTGGTTGCATCCAGAGGAAGCACGACTTGACCACATTCCTCGTACCAGGGTGATATTACATACAATTTTCAGGGCTAATGCCGGTTCCTGTTTAAGTACGCACCTACATCCGGGTTTCAGACATTCAATTCGGACCAGTTTTGATGGCTGATCAACGGCGTATCGAAAGTTATTATCACAGTTTTCCTGCTGAATGAGATCCCGGACCTTGAGGCGCAGCATCTTGGGAGCCGGAGTTTGGGGAGAACAGTACAGCCAGTCGATATCGCCGCCTGAACCATCCACAGAGGCCTTACAGACACCCACATTGTTTGCAGGTAAAAAGGCAGACTCCCCTTCGCAGGCGGAAGTTTGCAAGGTGGGACGGTGTCGCTCTGAAAAACTGACCCTCGCAAAGGACTTGGGCGGCCCTTCCGCCCCGTTCAACGGCGATTGCATGAGATGGGCCAAATTGTTCGACTTGCACTGCATTATAACCTTTTCCCCCTCAAACCTGTAGACGAAGTATTCTGTGCCTTAAAACCTGGATAATTTAACATGTCACTTACGGTTATGTTTGAAAAATACCGCAAAGAAGACGAAGGAATGAAGCAGAGTTCCACTGGGTTAGGTGTTTTCTTGTGCATGCATGGAGGACGCACAAAGTGGGTCGGGCGGAAAGGCAGTAGAAAAAGGCAAACGGGTGAGCCGCTGTCACGGACGGAATATGACGCGAAAGGCAGCCGTCAGCCGG